TCCTAACAGACGACATGATGGTCCTGAAACACGCGCGCGACCAAAGCTTAGTAACAAAGACAACACCAAAGTGCCAGCATTCTCACCATCCACCGCGATCTCCTCCTCTCACTCTACCGATGCATCGCCCCATCGTTCTTCGTCTCCATCACCTAGCAAGCCGTGCTTGGTCGACATGACCACCGCTGACTCGCAGCTCGACGCATCCACAGCATCCGCAGGCGATCTTCCTGCACTGCATCGCCAAGGTCGACCGGATACTGGTAGAGTGGTGTTGCCCTTATCTGCACCACAGACATCGCTCATCGAATCACTCAGCGATGCCCTGGCCGCTGCTGGGTCCACTGCGTCCACCTTGTTGAAGCAAAGCAAAGAGCGCGCTGCTGCGTTAGCCTCTGCTTTGAGCAAATCGCAGCACGCATTGAACCTGACCAGCAGCGATCGGCAGTCCAGCCGTGCCCCTGAAGTGCAAGCAATGTTTGATCCAGAAGGTCAGCTGGATGCCGATGAGCTGCAAAGCAGTCTTGCTGCATTGTCGGGACTGGGACATGGTAGCCAACGCATCACATGGGCCAGGTGGGAGCAATTCGCCGACCAGCACATTCTGCTTCTCGGCTACGACACCGGCGGCTTGCAAGTCTATGCCTTGACAGGGGAGGAGCTCGAAGAGCGATTGAACATTCACGGGCTGCTGCTCCCAAATGAAGAGCCTGCAGGGGCCGTGGTGAGTGGTTGCATCCACCAGGTTGGCTCTCGACGGTCTACGCATGCACCTGCGAGCATCAGACTGCTGCTCCTCTGTCAATCGAAAGCTGGTGCGAATCTCTGCTTGTATGACACCGGGTCCCACGTCGTCGTGCAGGTTACCAAGCTAAGCTCGGATCCATCCATCGGCGCGCTGCAAGCTGCATCAGCACGACTTGTTAGCGGAGCCTCATACGTCGCCGTCGGCCTGGGAAGCGTCGTGCACATCTTGGACGCCCGAACGCTAAAGCTGGAGCGATCGGTATCGTCAACGGCCGATCCCGCCCACTCCGCGGATCTGCCTTTCGACCTCTCTGATCGCATCTTTGCCTTCGCAACCACCGAGCAATCGGCTCATCCGCCTGGAATTTGGAGGCCTGATGGAGCTGCCGGTCACCCTCGAACGCCAGCTCACCGCGGAGGAAGCCAGCGTGGTGCTACTTCGCAGTCGTATCTCGGACCTCGAGAAGCCATCCAGACAGGCGTTCAGCTGACAGAGCACGCTCGCAAGCTCGGTGGAACAGTGCTGGATGCCGCACTCACATGGGGCAGTGCTCGCTGGTCTGGAGCGTCAGGCTCGGCGTCTCGAATCGACACCACGTCATCAACTTCACCCAGACAATCGTCCTTGACGTCTTCAGGATCTTCACCGCGACCTTCGCATCCCAAGCTCGCGACTTCGGATCGTGAGCGCGAGCGCGCGACGCTGCCACGATACAAACCGCGAACGGCGGTGAAGGTCATCGACCTCCGCTCAGGTCGCGTGCTAGCCCACTTTACTCCTCGTCCTCAACGCTCTGCTGCGGACATTGCTCTCCTCAGATTCAGTCCGACTGGGCATCAAATTCTCACGGCAGATCGTCGCGGTCATGCCGCCTCCATCTTTGAGCTTCGGCCCAGCGCACTTCATCAGCAAGTCGCCGATGTCTGGCATTGTTTGTCGGTGAGTCTGCTCTTGCTTGAGTCGTCTGCCGGCATGTCCGCTCACTCTCTTCACGCACTCGTGCAGCTCTTTCGTGGTCATACTTCGGCAAGGATCGTCGATGCAAAATGGTCATCCAACTCTGCATACGCGACCCTGCTGTCCGCGCGGGGCACGGCGCATGTTTACGCTCTCACTCCCCATCAAGATGGGCGGCGTAAGGGGCCTCTAAGCTACCCGTTAGAGACATTCCTCGACTGTACAGCGCGCACCGCCCGTGCGCGAAGTCTCACCAAAGCCGTTCAGCAAAGTGCAGCCGCACACGAAGACGCGAATCTGCCTTCAGACGCATGGTGGACGGAAAGCATGGCGCACGCTTGCCCCACGATGGCTCTGGTCGAACCGCTCACGCCGTCTCATGAGAAGCTCCTTAGCTTCATGAATCCAGGACAAATCACAGATTCGAGCGCCGAAGTCTTTCATTTGCTGATCATGGACCCGAGGAATATCGTTCTGAACGCGCATCGCATAAGCATCTCGGCTCGCAAGGGTACGGAGCCCACCACTGCTGGTGAAGCACCTGGCGCATCTGCTTTGAGCACAATGATGCACCGGGCTCGCTCTGCTTCAACCACTGTAGCAGGGGTCCGACTCTCGAGTGACGAACTTGGGCGCAATACCTCCCAAGCATCGACACGAACGCCTCGCTCATTGTCGCAGCCCCTGCCTGTGATGTCCGGCACTTGCGAACGTCTGGCGGCGTGGCTCGATCTTGCAAGGAAGGACGATTCTGACGAAGTGCGCTCGAAGCATTTGGGACTCTTATCGCACAAGCGCTTTGGCTCCGCTCCTATGCTCGCCCAGGCATACTCAACCGTCGTGGGACGAGCAGAAGTCCATTCTTGCGAACCCAGAGCATTGGCTCGTTCGCCCTACCTCTCCAGGCAAATATCATTCAGGACGTATGCGATCATGGCGCATGACGGCCCATCAACTCAGCCACGCTATTCAGACTTGCAGCGGAGCAACACGCATCGCAACGCGGTCCGCGACCAAGTGCTCGCTGAAAATTCTTCGGACGATCCAATTCACGGCATAGACTACAACCTAGCGTCTGCGATCCAAGTCGAGCAATTCACGAGCGGGGCAGCAGCGGCTGCTGAAGACGTGGATTCGGCGCGTTCGCCAACCAGCCGCATACCTGCCTTCCCTCAAGGGCAGCGAGCGCGACAGCCCTCATGGACGAGCAGAGCCACCAGTGGAATCGGCGCCATTCCTATTCGAGCTGGGGCATTTGCTGTTGCGGGTAGTCTGGACAGAGCTCGACGTAGTCTGATCGATGCCCACAATGCTAGGCGCAAAATTATTGCCGCTGAGGCCAAGAACTCTAGCACGCCTTCTCTCAGCTTCGAAGACGTCGACTCGGATCTCGCTATCTTTGCCGATGCTGTAGCTAGAGCTCAGCGCTCCTCGCAAACGTCAACATCTGGAGCTTCTAGATCGTATTCTTTCTCCTCTTCGCGTGCTGCAGGAGCAGCCGGTCCCGAGAGCGGCGAGAGCGGAGGCTCAGCAGACACTCCGCTCACAGTACATGACGAGGAGGATGACAGCGCATACGAAGACGATGGCGGCAGCGCCTGCTGGGAAGCTGCACGAGGCGCAAACGAGGACGAGGAAGGTGACACAAATGGCTGGGACTCTTTCGCAGATCAGGAGTTCGGCGGGAGGGGGCTGAAAAGCCCGAGTCGTCCTGCAGGAGACAAATACACCAGCGATTCTCGAGCACGGCACACGAACCTAGAGCCCTCTCACGACAACCGCCAAGAGAGCAGAAAAGAAGCGACTGGTGACTACATAGGCGTCTTTGACGAAGATCTGGCTATAGTTGGACCCGTCGGTGCTAGTTCAAGCAGCTCGAAGAGTGTGGGAGATGCATCAGACTTTGGTGAAGGTAGCATCCCTGGCTCGCTGCCCATCGCGGCGCAGCATTTGCAATACACGAGACAACAGGCTGCGCGGAAGCAGGTGGCGCTAACGCAGCCATCCTCGCTTCAGGTCCGATCACTTGGAGCTCAGCCGGGCAGCCTGAGTGAGGACCCCGAATCGGATATCGCCCTGAAGCACACTTCGCATGCATCACGCTCGGACCAGGACAGCACGTTGGCGCAAGGGTCAAGACTCGCGCCAGCGTCTTCCGGCGGCTCGCGCAAGACCGCCAAACGCCGCATGAAACCAGCTTCGTACGAGTAGGTCTACGCTGACTCCACGCACGTGTTTCCCGTCTCTCGATGATCAACCTTGCGACCCATACCTGTCGCGTGGCTCTCATACAGTAGCACCGCAATCACACCTCATATTCCATTGTCGTCTGATCTCATGTAGCTTGGCTCGATTGGTAGTACGTGCTCCAGCTAGGCTCCAGATTGTGTCGCGCTCTCTCAGCCCGTGCCGGTCGCCTCTCCATTACAAGACCTCTTGTGAACCGCGCCGACCACGCTCGTCTGAAACGTCCCAAGCTCGGCTTCCTATGATGTGCTTTCGGGCCTACGTCGTATCGCGGCAACAACTCGGGAGTCAAGCTGTCGATTACAGTTCCAAGTCGGTGGGCAGTGACGAGTAAGGTGTGTACCTATCTCCCTACGACTTGCACATCTCGGGCTCGACACAGAAGCTCATCTGCAGTGCAAGCTCTGTATCTCGCCTTACCCAGCCATCTCGTTCAAGTGATTCACGACGACTGGCGCGATCATTATGCGACTCAGGACTTGCGGGATCGGTGTCGAATTACGAATTTGATCCAATCGATTAGTTGCCCGCACGCCAAACGGCTCTTGTCTGCAGGGATCCGTCGGATTTCAACGTTCGACGGTGAGCTGACTGACCTTCTCAACGCTTCTCGATCAACTCACACGTACACTCGTCGTGACTCATAAAATTGCTGGCGGCAGCAGCAGGGCTGGAGGGCTGCGCTGAGTCGAGCGCCATGCGTTCATGCATGCGAATCGGCCCGCGCGGCAGGAGCCGTGCGCGTAACGGGTCCCTCCCTCGCGCGTGCGGTGGATCCTTGCAGCCCCATGCATGCGTGCTGTGTGCGTTCGGTTATTGCTGCTTACTTGACCGCCGCTTCGGCCGTTGTTTGCTGCTGCTGCCCATGCTGATGCTATACTCACACTGCTACTACTGCTCAGCTCTACGCGGCCTGCATGCATGGCGGTGGCTGATGAGGTGATGTGACTTGCGCAGTCAAGTCACCACGCAGTCATGAGGTGTTAGTGCAAGAGTGCAAGTTCAGCAGAGGTCCCTGCCACGCGGGGTCTGTGATTAGGGCAGAGAGGTCCCTGCCACCGCCGCCTCTGCATGTTCGACTGCTAATCAATGGCCTGAATGAGGTTATACTGTGCCTCCACGATACCCTTGCCTCCTCCACACCACCAAGGTCAGTCAGTAACGCAACAACACCCACATCACTCCAGACTTCTGCTGGAGCTCACCCGCATCCCAAGCGCCCCTCTCTCTTCGCGTCTGGTCATTCTGCAGAGAGCGCTCGTTACGCCCGCCCGTCCTGGCCCCTGAACAGCGATAATGGCGGCTTCGGACGTCATTCCATACTCTCCCGGGGCCACGCCCAGCTCCTCGGCGCCTTGGGCTCCCTTGTCGTTTGACGACTTTCTGGACTTCCCTAGCCCCGGTATCGCCCCCATGTCTCCTCGCATGGCACCCGCTCTGAGCTCTGAGCCTCAGCCAGCAGTGCAGGGTGCCGCATTGGATCCACCATCTCTGGATCTGCCATCGACTTCGACAGCTTCCAGTGTCGTCGCACCGCCGACATCCTCGGCTTCGTCGCCTACGCAGCCCCCGCCACCTGGCTCGTCACCTGAGGTGCTATTCGTGAGTTGATGGTAGGCAGCATAGCTTCGTTTGGGCAAGGGTGTGCATTGAATGCGCTGCTAGTAAGCCAGCCACTGACGACTTTCTCCTCTGCGCATTTTTGGATACAGCGCTACTACCTGGCTGCCGAGCTTCGTCGAATCGGCTCGAACGCAGACGACAAGATCATCGACAAGTACGTTGCTCAACACTACGCCTCGCTCTCCAAGAGCAAGCCTCAGCAGTCTCCTTCGAGCGTGAGCCAGCAAGCTCCACCCGCCGCCGCCTCTCCAGCGCATGTCGTTGCTCAGCCTAACGCATTCAAAGAACAAGGCTCGATGGGCATGCCTCAAGCTTCTGCATTAAGAGTCTCTCCGGTCGCCACTCGTGGCCCCGACGATGCGGTTGGGATTGATCCACACATGGTTGAGCTTCATCAACCCTCCGAGCGGCTCACTACGTCCACCTCGCAGGTCACAGATGACCATGTTGAGCTTGGAAACTCCTTCGCAGGCGCCGATGCATCTCGTCTACCCTTGCGTGGTAGTCCACGCCTACAAAGATCCGCCGACGACATGTCAGAGGACTCGGAAGGGGAGGAGCAGGACGACATTGCACCCCTTGCTGACGATGACGGAGCTGACAGCAAAGCTTTACTGCAGAGACAATTGGCACAGACCGCCAGTGGCAAGACGGCGCGTTCTTCTAGGGCCGGTAGCGCCGGCACAGTTTCATCATCGTCTGGTCTCGGTGGCGAAGCGCACGATGGCGGCGCACAGTCGTTCAGCGGGCACGGACGCTCCGTGATTAGCGCTGCGGCCATGCTTCGTCCATCCCCAGAGGAGTACCAGAAGTTGAGTAGCAAAGAGAAGCGACAGCTTCGCAACAAGATATCTGCGCGCAACTTCCGTACACGCAGAAAGGAGCACATCACCACGCTCGAGGAACAGCTGGACAATCGCGACGCCATTATCGAGGGCCTTCGCTCTCAAGTGTCTTCCTTGACGCTCGCAAACCAACAGCTGACGGATGAAGTCAAAGTACTCAAGACAAAGCAAATTTCTCAAACTGACGTTCAGCGTATCCTTGACGTCTTGCAGCGTTCCGCTTCCACCAGCGGAACGGGCGTCGTGGCCGGATCAGCCGACGGAACGAGTGCTGCAGCACAAGCACAACGCCTCGGCATTTCTCGCACTGCGAGCAACAGCAGTTTGGTGGGTCACGCAAACTCGGGAGATGTCACGATGTCTGGCAGCAGCCGTCCAACGACTCCCAACAGCCCAAGGCCACCCATCCTGCGCCGCTCTTCGCCTTCCATCTCTGGCCTCAACACGCGCAAGGATGTGGCTTCTACGAGCTCGGCGTTCTGGGGCGGTGCCAACACCACTTCCTCTGCTCTCGTTGCAGCTTCTTGATCCTGTAGCATAACCCGTCAAACTCACCGGCGCGAGTCCTTGCAAGCAGTCTCTTTCTGCATTGCCTTGTGGCAATTGTGGCATGCGCCAGGTTGCCACGCACACACCGCCATTCGCGCTCTGCGCCATTCCACTTTTGCCAGATCATTGAGCCGCACTTCGCGTACACATCCCTCTCGTTCTCATCTTGTATGGTGACCCTTCGACTCGCCGCTTATGACATCAGTTCGATGTGGCCTTTCGCGTGCGGCCCTGGTGCGAATTACTTTGAGTCTGTATGCCTGCGTCACTTCGATCGAACATCGTCTCTTCGGCCCTGTCAACGTCATATGAGTTAATCACGAGCACTCTCGTGTCCAGCTTGCTCAACGAAAAGGATTTGTGTTCCCGACGTTGATAGCGTGTGCCAGGAGATCGCGCCAATGAAACCGGCCGCCGCATCGAGGTGGGACAGTAGTCCGAGCGAGCCACACAGCCTCAGAGCTGGGATGCGCGCACGATGTGCAAAACTTCGCGCGGGTCCGTAATGGGACGGAACAACGCGCGACGAGGCCTCCACGAAGAACTTCTAGCTTGATCCTCGACTCCCATCTTCTTCCAATTTTCTTCGCTGCCTCTAGCTCATCAAACGACAGGCTATGACTTGCGACTATGGCAGACCCTTCCCCTTCATTACCCAGTCTATCAGCATTAATCTGTTTTCCAGGAGCCGCATACACTCAGAAGTGCGCTCTCGATGCTGCAAAGAAGGTCTTGCAGCCAAGAGGCTGGTCAGTGATCGATGGGTGCAAGTCGGCCAGTGGTAGAGATCCGACAGCGTACGATACTGTTGTTTCAGCGCCCAAAGGTGCAAGTGCAAAGCACGCCCTTTACTTCGCGGACTATGATTTGCTGCCCTTTGAGCAGCTGCTGGGATCCAAACACCAGCAGTGCAGCTCCTACGTCATTCGAAAGGCGCTCATACGCAAGCATCACCTTGCGCATTCGATTCACGCCCATTCGCTCAAGATGGGACCGCAAGCCATCCCAAAGCATCTTCCCTTGACCCCCAAAACTTGGTTCTTCGAGCTGCAGTTCGCAGACGATCTGGACGAACTGCTCATGGATGAGCTTTACGACCTGCGGGATGCGATGCAAGCCCAACAAGGTGAGACGCAAGAAACACAGTGGTTCATCTTGAAACCCGGCATGGCCGATCGTGGCAACGGCATCAGGCTCTTCAGAGACGAAGATGGACTCAGAAGCATTCTGGAAGAGCTCGAAGGAGATAGCGAGGAAGACGCGAGCGAAGCTGGGAGTGGGGACGAAGCAGGAGGTGGAATGTTGGGACAGCTACGCCACTTTGTCATCCAAGTGAGTCCTGCTTTACCTTTCAGCAGCGAGGCCACTCGCCGTCTGTTCGCTCATCCAGAATGCGGCGGGCTCTATTCAGGAGTATATAAGACGACCTTTACTTCTGGCGCCCAAGAATGTCGATGCCACCGAGTGCAGCGACGAAGCAGCACCCTACAGAAAATTTCACATTCGCGCTTATGTCCTGTGCACAGGCGGCCTGCAAGTCTACCTTTGGGACCACATGTTGGCGCTGTTTGCTCCTCTGGCCTACAAAGATCCCGCCTCGAAAGCCGACGAAGCATCGGAAGAGCCAGATCCGAGGATACACCTCACAAATACCTGCTTGCATGCTGATGGACAGCCATCGGCTGATGGTCGACCTGCTGAGGAGAACGTCTATCTGCTCGAGAACCTTGTGGGCTGCACCGCGACTGACGGCAAAACGCAATCATCGACTGGAGCGTTCTTCACTCCGACACAATACGAGCGCATCAAGTCACTGACAGCTCAAACCATCGGACGGACTTTTGAAGCAGCTGCAAGAGCAGGGAGCATTCATTGGCAAACCTGGCCCAATGCGTGGGAAATTTTTGGCGTGGACCTACTCGTCGGCTGGGACCCTGAAGCGTGTTCGCCAGGTGAGGAAGCGCTTCGAGTATGGCTGCTGGAAGTCAATGCTGTAAGTGGTCGCTGTGCCGTCGTTCCTCGGTCGCGAAGTTTGATGATAAAGGCTGATCCTTGCGCTCGCATGCTCCTCGCGGGCCGCCTTCGTAGCAACCCGACTTTGCGCAGAGCGGGGCTCGACTATCGTCCACGATCGAATCTCTGTTCCGCCAGTCCATTGAGCTGGCTGTGCTGCCATTCTTCGAGCAAACGAAGGAAGGACATGAGAGGTCGGAGCCAGGAGTGGGCACATCGCAGAATGGCATGACCCTGTGCCTCGATGCAGAGCTAAGCAGAGCGTGGTGAGAAGCTCTAACGGTACTCTTCACGGGCCTGCATCAGAGCAAGAGACAGTGATTGCTTTCACCATCTAGCATAGTCTGTGCACTTCTTCGCACGCGCGTTCAGGCGTTCTCGAGACTATAGCCCAGCTGGCGACCCTTGGCATGCGCGTCCATGACCAGCAGGTTGCGCCACACTAGTCAGACGAAGCAAGCAAATATCAGCAGGTGCCAGCGACAAGCACCGCTGCACGTGCGCCTCGACTCACTCGGTTGAAGACGAGGGGGCAAAGATGCACCGAAGCTTGGCTCTTTCATCCACTCTACGTTGTGCTACACGCAGGCGAGGTGGATGTAGTCAGTGATCACGCACAAAGCGCTCGACGAGCTTTGCACCCTGTCCGCACCTGTAGGACGTTTCGAGCGCGCTCAGCGAACGCTAGCTGCTCTGATACGCGGTCTGTGGAGTCGAGGGATGCATCTGCTCGAATGCCGCCATAGCAACCGTGCAGCGTTGCTCTGATCTGCGATGGTAGATAAGATGCCCTGTGCAGTACACGCTGAGAATAGAATGCTGTCTGCCCCGCTGCATTCGCATGTGCAACGCTGCTTTAGTCCACCAAGCTATGGTCGCGAAGCGCAGAAGCCGCGCGGACTTACCTTTGAGTTTTACTTGCAGCGTGTTTGGAGGATCCACCTGCCACCTGGCGTCCAGAACGCCTTGGCTTTCCAGCACCTTGGTAGCGGGCGGCGCCTTTGCAGCATTCGCCCTCTTCTCCGCTTCCGTTCGCAGACGTGCGTGTGAGCCGGGGCAGATGAACAGACACTCGTCGTCATATAGCGCCGCGTTCCACTGGACGCCATAGGTGGGAGCTGAAAGCCTGGCCTCTTCCTCCTCGCTCGACACATCTGCTCGAACGTCGTCCCGATGCCAGGGCAATGCGAAGGCGTGGCAGGCAGGATTTATCACTGGTGCCAATGTTGCAGGTAGCGATTAGATGCTGATGAGGTGCGAACGTCGCAGTGATCACTCACGCAGATTGAACAGCTCCAACTGCATCTTGTCCGGCTGCGTGTCGAGGAGAGCGGCTGCAATGTCGAGCAAAGGCGAGCTGCCGTAGAGCCTCGCAAAGATGCTGTCGTACTTATCAGCTCCATTCTTTCCCTCGCCCCTTTCAATGAGATCAGGATGAAGCAGATGCTGTACGCCCCAGCTATCGTCTGAGATGGGATCGTACGGAGGGAAAGACTTGCCAACTACTCTGCGGTGAGGCCACTCGCCTCTCCTCGTCCTCTCCACAGCAGCATGACATGCCACTCTGAGCTCCTCGAGGGACAGGCGATTCTCGAAATCGAAGATGCCATCCAAGATTACATAGCCGTCTCTCCTGTAGGCCGCTCGTATGGCCTCCAGGTCGTAGCGCGAGAGCGCATCAGCTGCGTCTGCGTGTTGCGAAGTCATGTCGGACGCGCGTCAAGGCGGCAAGATGCCGGAATAGCTTGGCTGGAGACTCTCGGTGGCGAAGCTGACTTGATTAGGCAGGGATTATGGGTGGGTCCAGAGGTGGTGTGTAAGGGGAGGGGCGGTCGGAGTTGGGTTGCAGAACCTGCTTGCTGTGCGCGAGGCGCGAGATGGCAGGGTGGGAGCCGCGCAATAAGATCCACTATTGTGATTGACCCGCGGCAACACGCGCGCGCCCGTCGACGGAGCAAGTCACGTGTCGTGAGCAATGATGAGCTCTTGCATGCGTGCATTCAATTCTGATCCTTGATTCCTGAGTCTTGATTGCATGGGCATCGCACGTGGCGCATCCAAAGTCGCAGGCAGGCTCCAGGGCCCGGCCTGCATGGTTGGCGACCGTGCTTGCCCGGCAGGCGAGGGCCAAGAAGAAGCTCGGAGCTTGCGCCTCTGCGTTCGAACGGCAGCAGCGAGCTCACAGCGTTGGCGTGCCATCAGCATTCGGTTTCGCTTGATGCTGCTTTCACCAAGTTTGACGGGGCACTGCCACGATCATTTGCGCGATTGCAAACACATTCGACCCTTAAGCCAACTTCTTGACCCGGTGCTCATTCTTGCCGTGGCCCTCCATTCCCTACGAGTTGCAAGGAAGGTTCAATCTTCTTGCAGACCAAGTTTCGACCGCGGTGCATACACACGCGTGCCTATCTCAGTGCAGGACAACGTGGCCTGGTACGATCGTCCAGTTGCGTGAGACGCCGAACTTGGATACAATAGAGCACGATGACTGCGTCACCAGCATTGAACGTGAGTAGCAGGGTCCAAGACAGGTGCCGCAATTGCCCCCATCGCGGCAAGTGGATAGATTTGAAGCTGCATTAGCTGACCAGCTCGGCATCCTTCCCACTCCCTCTACAACTGTTCTCCCACCTACTTCCGTCAACCTTCGACACCAATGTCGATCCTTCTCCACCAATGTTGGCCTGATTTGGATGACAGGTTGCACGATACGGCGCCTTGATCGGTGGGATCGGATACGGTATTGTGCACAAGCGAACACTGCAAAAGAGAGAAGATCAAAGAGCAGTGCAAGCGGAGTTGAAGCATCTCAGAGAGTCTCAATCCAAGGCGGAGAAGGAGAAGGACGCTGCTATCTTGGCGAGCATCAGAGGTGGTGGAGGTGAGTGTCGAGCTTTGGGTAGTGAGATGGCCAGGATTGGAACGAGTATCAAACGGCGCTTCGTCGAATCAGGCCCTCTCGCGGCATAAAGGTTCGATGCACGCGGTACAGCTAAGGAAGCACAGCCAAAGCAACGCGAGGCACGGTTCTGGTGGCAGTCGGTCGAGCGGCGCATCTCAAGTGATGCTCAGCCGACTCAGCACGAAGGCGAAAGCGAAGTCTTCTTCGCAGGTACAGGTGGTCCCATCCGGTTTCTTCCAAGGAGCAAGGGAGGGCGCAAGCATCAGAGCGGCGCACATTTCTACAGTGTGGCGGCTCCATGGCTACCTTTCTGACATGCTGTATGCTCCTTCGATTCATCGTACAGTCGTGTCGGACCCAGACAGCCCCAGCTTCGATTTGGAAAAGTACCTCTCTTCCCTGGAGAAGTAAACGCAAACCACAAGCGCGCTCCGCGATCCGCAAAATCACCAGCGACGGAGGTATCACACGCTCATCACGCCCTCGCAATCTAGACGATTTTTGCGCCGACTTGTGACATGCTTAGCTTTTGTGTGGGAATGTCGCATTGCGTGGGCACGAACAAGCTGACGGGGGAAAAGGTCCACTGCGGGAAACTCACATTTGCAGACGTGAGAGATGACGCTGTTGGCGTCCTTTGGCTGTCTCGCCTGGTGGTAGTCTTCGCAATGGGCTTTGCATGAGCTCCCGCAAAGACACGACAAGTGCAATGCAAGGCTTTGGATGGCAGTTCAAGAGTCCCATGCTCCCAAGCCTCCAGCTGCCCGACAGCAAAACATAGCTAAGCGATGCTCCGGCTCGTAAGGAACTTTGCCGCCGATTCGCATGATGGTAGATGGCGCTCTTGCTGCGATTCGCACCCTTGGCGGTGGCCTTGAGGTAAGATTTGCCGCCTGTGCAGGGCCCTCGTCCTCTTCAGTCCGATTCTGCTCCAATTTTGTCCTCAGAGCCCTTTCGACATCTCTCAGCACCTTGTTTTGCCACTCTGAAGGTGTTGCTATCTCTTGGCTGCCTGGACCAGGCGGGTCACCCGGTCTCCATCCGTACTGCTGGCCGATTGCTTCTATCAGCTCCGTCTTGAAAGAGTCGTTCGATTTTTGAGCCGAATTGGTCCACGCTCCTCGTCTCTCGGCCTGCCAACCACCGCTGTACACTCCGTATGTGCTTTCGTGCTCTTCCTCAGTTTGTGAGCCTGCACTGTGCTCGAAGATTGATCTCCAGTGGTAAGGGGGCCGCATATAGTATTCGTTGACCGCGTCTTCGTTCGACATTGCTTCCCAGGCCAAGTGCAGCCTTCTGAAACCACCTGCACCAAGCTCGCTTAGGGCTCGCACCTCCTCCGCTCGACGTTCGCTTTTGGTCCCCGGCAGTGCGAGCTCTACGAAGAAGGGCTTCAATCGAGCTGAATGCAACGATGCAAGCTCGATCAGCCTTCAATCCGCGACGCTGCATCTGCGAAAAGCACCGCACGTACCTGCTACTATTTCAGGTGGCTTGAAGCTGAATCGAGCCGTATCGTAACGGATGTGGGTGAGCTCGATGGGCTCCGGACGTCCGCTCGTAGCGGCGACTGCATCATTGCGCCGTGCTGGCCTAGCTTCGTTGACCACGTCAGCTTTGTACCTCAGGCCTGCATCCGAGGAGGATATGCTGCCTTTGCGAAGTCGTGCCAGGCCATCGTATGGCATTGTGATGCCTCCTGGCTCTTCGAAATCAGCGGCGATGATATGCAGACGCTTTAGGCGAGTGCCGTCGCCGTGCCATTGGTAGAATGAGGGCCACTGGGGATATGCGGCGGCCAGTACATAGGTGATCGTGAGCTCTCTCGGCATATACACCAGGTACCTATCGCCGGAATCTTGTCTGCCATCTTCGTAGCCAAACCTCCAAATGTCCAAAAGGTCAAGGTCGCCGGCAATCGGTTCACACATCAGTATCTCTTCTGCGTACTCCATCGCGAGGTCGGCATTCCTTGGTTTGGTCGGCATGACGTGGAGGAATAATGCTTTGACGCATCCAGAAAGAGAGGCAGGCAAGGAGATAGCATCTTCCTTGAGAGGCTGCGCTTTCATGCTTCCCGCTCCGTGCAAAGGAGACGGTTGGACGTCATCATCAGGAAGGGGATAATGACGCCTGACGCATTCCAACAAGCTGCGCGCTTGAGCCTCGTTCAGTATGATGATGGTATGCCATCGTGCTCGAGCAGTCCAGTTGCAAATGTCTCGACAAGAGAGCGCGAGGGAAATCTTGGTCCATGGATGTGTGCGCGCTGCCAGAACAGTGATCTTCTGGATGAGCTCCAAGGGAAGGATGGGCGCGAGCGTTTTGGACTCGCAGGCGTCATGACCGCCACGGGTCGACGCCATTGCGATCCACCTGTCTAGTCGCTCTTGTTCGCATCCACGATTCTTGATTCTTGCTTCGCATTCGTGATTGTAGCTCGTTCGCTCTCGTCAAGGAGCAGCGGTGAGGATCACCTCTCGCTCTGTTCACGCTGCTTCCGTACCCTACCCGTCACACACACCTTTGCTGCAGTTTGCGCGAGCCTGCTGAATGAGTGGATGCTGCACGCACGCTCACGCGCTCACGCGCACGCACGCACGCACGCACGCTCACGCAGCCTCAGCAGCAACTATGATGCTAATGCAAGAAGCGTGAACACGTACAGTCGTGAGTACCATCCATCAGTCAAGGCAAATCTCTCGAGTGTCAGACGTCAAAAGGTCGCGCTCGCTGCTCGAGGCGACTCCTGAAATCCAGCGACGACGAAAGGATTGCCACATCCTGCTGCACCGCCACATCGAGAATCCTCGGTCTTTCGAAGGAGGACGCAGCGCGGGGGGCAGGCACCCTAAAAGAGGTGCGCCTGCCTGCATGTGTAGGGCAGGGCAGATGCGATGATGGCTCGAACCGAACGCGAGTCACGAGAGCTCGACCTGGAAACCATCGTGGAGTTGTGAGTGTGTGTGGAAGCAGCATTCGTGATTGCCAATTTGAATCAAAAATGAAGCATCAAGTCGCGTTCGCAAGCAGCTCGTGTGCGGAATGAGCTTTCAAACATTCGATTTCGATTTCGAGGCGATGCTCCTGGGCGGCGCGCACCCTACCCTTTGTCGTCGTGCAGCGAGCGCGCTCGATGAAACCCAGCGCGTGGCGTGGCGAGCTGGGGTCTGCACTCGGTGAGCCTTGTTGGCTACAATGTTGGTGCTCGGGTGAATGAATGAGAGGGTGCAGTCCACGTCAGATCGGAATACAGTCTGGAGTAACCGCCACTCAAGGCGGATGTGTAGCGTGGAGACCTTGGCACGCAGCTAGCTGACTGAAGATGTGCCGCCCCTCAGCACGGCTGCCTACGGCAAAAGCGAGCCGTGCAGCGAAGCCGTCAGTCACTCGTCACGACTCGTGAACTTACGTCCCGCCTCGATCATGCCGTCGCCTTACATTCGTGTGGCTTTTTGGGGGGGATGTGTGCCTGTACAGCATGGGCAGGAAGATGCAGCCTAATCCAGCAGCATCGCTTGCCTGCCGGCCCTGCGTGACGGACTACAGTCTGAGTGCCCTCAACTTGTCACGGCACGCTCGATCTATCGTGCCTGCCTCGGCTGTGCCCCTCCTCACCTCGAGCAGCGACAGCAAAGATCCTCCCCTCCCTGACACATCATAGCCTCGGACGTGTCGGGGTCGGGCGACGTACTGTACCCATCTGTGCTTGCCTCTCCATCGCCCCGCCCCGTCCACCGCTCGACCAGCCAGCGTCCCGAGGTCATGCGCTGGTCTGCATGCGAGTCACCCCTCGGGGCGTCCTTAGCGTCTCGTACTGTACACATCATATACCGGCACCGCACACGCTCGCAATTGCTCTCTACTACGCACGACTTGCTCTGGTATGGCTGTGTGCGCTGGCATCAACCATGGAATAGGCAAGCCTAGCCAGCAGCAGCTCCCTGCTAGTCCAGTACTATATAGCCATGCCATGGGCGCATGACAAGACGCCAGCCGGGGCTTTGAAATGACCTTGAGGCGCTCGGTTTATCACAAAATCTTCAATGCGGTCTCTATGCTACGGTTACATACTCTCTTGACTCTCTCACGCGCAGTCAAAAGTGTAATGAGCTAACGACTTGAACTTCATTTGTGTGACTCATCCCTTGAGCGCTTAGCACGGCGTTAGGTACAAAAAGCGTTTTGTTAAGCTGCATCATTATTATTACTTTTCCCGAACAGTGCGCGCGCCCTCGGATCCATCTATAGCGAGGAGAGGAACGCACATCAACACGGGCGCGCGCGTCCGACAGGCGACAGGGCAGGGATCGCGCATGAGCAGCTGATGTGTAGGAGAACCTGCTGCTGCTGCTGCTCCTAGCCTGCCACTGTATGCAGCGATATGGTACCGTACACGCGCGTGACCCGTGACTGTACGCATGAGCAAGCAATTAATTGCCGTGCTGCTGCGTGCGCGCGATCAGCAGCTACAGCACAGCTATATAGGCGCGTGCTGCATTGTGTGCATGCTGGGTGGCAGGTGGCATCGCACGCGAATGAGCGAGTGCTGATTGATTTGCATGGAGACGCGGACCGCCTGCCGCGGGTAGCTTGGGCGAGGTGGGGGGAAGCTCTGGAGCAGGGCAGTAGGGCAGCAGGGCAAGGCAAACGCGCGCGGCAAGAAACAGCAAGCATCAGCAGCAAGCACCCAGCAGCAGCAGCGATGCACAGCGGCGAGACGAGTTGCCAACACTCACACACACTCTCACCAACCAACCCGCACAGACTCATTTCACGATTCGTGATTGCTCGGTCGCTCATTCACGATACTCCTGCTCCTCCATTACGGTGCCGACGCGCCATCGTACGCGGCGTCCATCAAGCTAAGCAGGGGACTCATCACATTCGATCCCATCAGAAGCCCCATCTTCGGCGGTGCAGACAGCTGACAGGCTCGCCGTCGTCTCGTCTTGTCCATCCAACATCGTATCACCACACGTCCTGCAGTCATCTCCTTGTCAGGCTCAGCTTCAGGCTCAGGCTCAGCTCGATCGCCGCTCCAGCGAAACTCATCCGCTCGCAGACTCAACCACTCATTTACAAACAAGCACCCCTTGCCCACGTCGGGCAGACAGCCTTTGCTCATTCGGACCCCTCGGCGCTCGCATACGCTCGCTGTTTTCATTCATCACCACGCTCCTCCGTCCCAGCTTGCCCGCCATCACACTCTTCGAGTAGAGCAGATCGGCCGATCGGTCACGACACTGCAGGCTCCCAGTCACCCTCAAGCTCAGTCGCGCAAAGGGTCAGGTGCGCTGCGTTCCTGTGCGTTCGGCACTGTGAGCTTAGACGATTCTCCTGTCGCTTAAGGAGGGTGCGCTAGATCCGCTCACACCTACAGCAGCCAGACAAGGCGTCCAGCTCTTCTGCGCCGCACGCCAAGCCGCATACCCTCAGGAATTTTCCTTAGAACAAGGTCGCAGGCATCCCTTCATTGGTGTATACATTCAGGTGCGTGAGCAAGAGTAGGAAAGCTGCGTGAGGGACGCAAATTGTTGCAAGGCCGAGTTTCGAGAAGGTCTGAGGTGTAGTACAAGGCAGGGAAAGGGCTGCCCAGGTGCTGGAGGCTAGCTCGTGGAATGCTGAGCGCGCGACAGAAAAGATAGAAAAGCCAAGCAGGGAGGATACCTTGTAGGCGCACATGACATGGGCATTTCTGTCACCCGACCAGTCACTGAGCTCAAGACCTGCTACTGCCTTTACAGCTGCATTCAAGCTGCGTTGCCCAGCATGTTCAAATCCTTCGGCAAGATGATGGGGTCCTCCAAGAAGGGAAAGTCAAAGTCGGCAGATGGCGATGACTTTCCCAACGAGGATGGCAGCTTTGCGGATGGGACCAACTATGGCAGGACCCGCGCGAAAGATGCGGCCTCCTTGAGCGCCGAGAATGGCGGCGGCATCCCAGGCTCTCGAAGTGGGAGAACAACGCAAGGACGCGGACCGAGTGGCGCTACAGCTGCTGCTGCCGCGTCGCCGAATCACGCTGATGACGCCGTTCCGACAAGGATTGAAAAGCAGGGTGGATTGAGTCGCCATGAATCTCCCTTACCTTCACCTTCTTCATCGCACGCTGATGGTCTGAATGGAAGCGGTCATGATGCCATGTCTCCCACACCCGGTCCCGACGAGTCTTTCACAAGTCAATCTGCATCAGCCCAGGCAGGAGCAGCTGCGGCCAATGCGCCCGCGGGTATCCCTACTACGCAAACAATCTTGGCGAATCCCATGGGGATTGGTGGAACATCGGGACCTTCTTCAGCATCCAGAGGAAGCATGGCGGGCAGCGGATCTGCGAGCGGCCTCGGAAGTGCGGGTGGACCGACACCGGAAGGTGTGCGCACTTTCGACATCGACGACATGATCACCAGGCTGCTCGAAGCAGGCTACAGCACGTCCAAGCTACCCAAACCTGCTCTCAAGAATGCCGAAATCACAGCAGTCTGCACTGCGGCGCGAGAAGTCTTCTTGTCTCAACCTACATTAATAGAGCTCAGTCCACCGGTCAAGATTGTCGGAGACACGCATGGCCAGTATCAGGACTTGTTGCGCCTCTTCGAGATGTGCGGTTTCCCTCCTCAAGCAAATTATTTGTTTCTTGGTGATTATGTGGATCGTGGTAAACAGAGCCTGGAAACCATCCTCTTGCTACTCTGCTACAAGATCAAATACCCCGAAAATTTCTTCCTGCTGAGGGGAAATCACGAATGTGCAAACGTGACCAGAGGTGAGTACAAGCTGCGAGCCCTCGCTCGCGAAAGATCGCAAGGGTCCCCTGTTGCGTTTTTTCAAAAGTCTCAAAATAGACCAAAGCATAGACGACGCTGATCGACACGTCTTGTGGCCAGTGTACGGCTTCTACGATGAATGCAAGCGACGAGTGAACATCAAGATTTGGAAGACCTTCATCGACGTCTTCAACACTTTGCCCATCGCAGCCGTCGTAGCCTCCAAGATTTTCTGTGTGCATGGCGGCCTGAGCCCGTCGCTGTCCAACATGGATGACATTCGACGCATCGAGAGGCCGACCGATGTGCCTGACTATGGTCTGCTCAACGACTTGCTGTGGTCAGATCCTTCAGATACTGCGCTGGACTGGGAAGACAACGAAAGGGGCGTAAGCTACTGCTTTGGTAAAGCAGTCATTCAGCAATTCTTGGCGCAGTATGATTTCGATCTCATCTGCAGAGCTCACATGGTGGTAGAGGATGGGTACGAATTTTGGAACGAGAGGACGTTGGTGACGATCTTCTCGGCGCCAAACTACTGCGGAGGTAAGTCCAGACGGGGTGACCGCAGGTGTGCAACCAGGAGGGCACGCCGCTGATGCCGCCCTCATCCAACCGCAGAGTTCGACAATTTCGGCGCAGTGATGAGCGTCTCAGAAGACTTGCTGTGCGCCTTCGAATTGCTCAAAGTGAGTCCTATCGACCCGCAGCATCGGCTTCGTAAAGACGCAAATTCACCACTTTGCCCGCTTTCCTGCTCTTGTAGCCGCTTGACTCGACCGCACTGAAAAAAGAGATGGCTAAGAACAAGAGGCGCTCGATGCAGCAGCATCAGTCTCCTCCTGCACAAAGGCAAGGGTCGTACTAGTTGGCAGGCCAATGACGAGCGCGCACCACAGCTCGAGCCAAAGGCCGCCAATTTCTGAGTGTCATTGTCGGCGTGCTATACATAAATGTCAGACTCGGAAGCTCGAGACATCTCAACGCTAGATACGCCTCAACGGAAAGCCTGCTCGCGAAGCACCACTGCCGACTGAGCATTCAATTTGGCCTACGTCTCAGCTGTCTGTCCCGCACGAATGCCTCGTCTGCGCTCTCGGACTCGATCATCCGGTGCCTGCTTCTCTTCAAACACTCCTCTAGAGCTACAGCTTAGGCGGCGTCATTTTGCATCAGCAGCTTTGCGGTCTGACCCACTCGAAGTAACGCCCAGCTCTTGTTCTACCCCTTTCCTTCCTTCTTCTCCTCACGTCACTTGTCAAGGTATGAATGGTATCCGTCAAAAGGCTTGCACGCGTGGCATGCGCTTCTGAGAACTTCAAGTCTGCTGGTCCGGACACAGGTCGGGCCTTTGTCGCTTTTGTTGATGTACAAGAACGATCTGAGGTACAGTTTGCGGCAGAGCAGAGGTTAAAGAAGGGATGGCTGGGGACAGAAGGGCGAATTTGTGTGCTGAGGGCCTGGAGCTGAGGCAATGAAGCGGTACATCGGTCGATTTCGAGGCCAGCTCTAGACCCGGCCAGCGATGCCCGACGGCTTGAAAGGGGTCAGGCGCTTCAACTGTTCGGGCTGGAGGTGTGGAGCTGGTGCACGCGAAGACCTCATCGAGTAGATGGAAACGCTCTCCGCAGATCCCCCGGACGGCTGAGTGTGGACTATCGGGCCTTGCACTTCCTCATCATGATGTCCACCAAACGTTGAGGTGGAAGAGACTGTCCGTAGCAGTGGGAACTGAGGAGGGTCAAGAGGGCTGCTGCTCCAGAAGGCATGATTCGTGTGAGCGGCAGAAAGATCTGGCGAAGGGCTGGTGTGCTCAACTTCACTTGGCTTCAAGACGCTGAGCGGTTGGCAGACCTTTGGGGTGCCACACAATGTTGCTCCCTCCTGTCCAGCCTCGACGTCACCTCCTGCTGTTTCATTAAAGCCTATTTCACGTCGCAGGTAGGCTTCCGCTTGCCTCGACCCTGGCATGACGTCCGGCGCTGGATGGACGTGGCCTGGGCTGGCCATTCGCGAGTCAAAGTCGCCTGCTCCAAGGGAGGGTAGACGCTCCGAGACTTCAATTGCTCGAGATGAAGATGCTTGCCTGTCCGGCAATGACTTCAGAGCGCTTAGCAAAGGATTGCCCCCATCCAGATCCAGCGTCTGATTTCCACCGGCCGAACGAGTCTGTCTAGGAGAATTACGAGGGGCAGGATGGAGAGTTGAGGGATTCGAGTCGGCAAACGTGACCGAGGTGACCGGTCTCACGCGATTGGTCGTGTGAGCCCAGTCAGCCCAAGCGCCTGGCCGGACTACGTGATTCGTGCCAGACGCAGCGCTTATCCTCGAACTTGCAGATAGGTACTCTCTTGGATCGTCGGTGTCGTGCTCGAGGGGGCGCAAATCCTTTGCAGATTCTCGCGTGTTGGGCCTAGAGCTGAGTCTGAGGCCACCCTCACGGCCTCGGTCGAGGTCGAGCGATGCATCGAAGAGCGAATCAAGCCGACTCGACCTCGCAGTTCCATTCGTCTGAACCGTTGCGCGACTTTCGGCGGTGAAAGGACGGAAAGCTAATGCCGATGGCCACATCGACTGTGCGTGAAAGTCGTCAGCGGGAAGAGTTCTGCTCCTCGCTCGCGTGTATCTGTCAGTCTGCTGACTGCGTTCAGAAAGTGCCGAGTTCATGCCCTCAAGCAAGCTACGCGATGCCCGAAAAGGATTACTGAAGCCACGCGATGCAGTAGCACGTACGGGGGATGGGTGCATCGAGTCGTCTTCAGCCAAGCGACGGCGCAAGGCAAAATGTTGCGTCTGGTCATTGGTATGCGTGCGTCCCAAAGACGGTGCCCGCCTCAGAGACTCTGGCGAAGTCGTGCGGAGTACTGGAGACCCTATTTTGCTGAACACTGACATGCGCTTGAATTTTTCAGAGTGTCCCTCGGAACCTTCGTGTAGCGTGGGGCTATTCAAAGGTGTCTCACGACCGTGCGGTGCGGGGCTACCATCGTCCACCTGGAGGAGCCATATTGTATACCAATTCGCAAGGACTCAGTATGAAAGCACGACTTGAATAGGTGGCAATTTTGACGAAGCAAACTTTGTCCACTCACGGAGCGCTCATATATAGATGAAATGCTCGGTGGCTGGGCTGCAAGGTGATTCTGACCGCTGAAAGGCTTGCTGCTGCGAGCCCTTACCGACGCTCCAATCCAGCATGAGTGCTGGGACGAGGGGATGTGACAAGCAGGCCGACCAGAAACCTCCCTTCGCAGCGCAAGACCAAAGACGAGAGCGATCAAGGTAATTTTGGGGATCAAGACGATCTGCGAAGCACAGGAAAGTCAATTTAGAGCGAAGGCTTTGTTGCTTCAGCAAATGCAGACGGGAGAAGACACGCACGAGGACCCAGGCCCACGCTCCAACACTTGAAAAAATGAGGATGGCAAAGAACATAAGGTCAGCCACCCCAGATCGCAATGACATGGACGAAATCCGCGTCGTCTACTGACCGCGCGACGAGCAAGCCGATGGACACGGCGTACATCCTGCTTCGTGGCGATGTTGTCAGACTCAGCTTAGACACATAGGGCACGATGGACACGGCCCGCAAGGCCACCACTCACACTACCAGGACGGAGCCGGAGAGCAGAGCGGCCCAAAGCAAACCGTTGAGAGTCTGAAGAGGTGCCTGCTGTTCGACCTGCGCCCTTACTGACTGCTCAGCGAGCCGCAAGGTCACGGTGGCAGGAAACGTGGCTCACCACTGAAGTAGCCTTGTGCAGTTCCCGTGACAGAGTGTAGCAGATGAACATATCGATGAGCTTTGGAAAGCAGAGAGTTGTCGAGGGTGGTCAGCCTTGACGCTACGCGTGCGAGGGAGAGTGTATGCGCACCATGTTCAGGATCAGCCAGCAGAGGAGGAGCACGGCAGCCCACGACCACGTGCCAAGTGCTTGAGCGTACGAGTTGATGAGCTAATGTGAAGAATTGATTCACACGTCAGTGCGATGTAGAGCAGGTAGGTGGACCCTGCACAGCTCACCTTCAACGAAGCGGCAGTAGCGACGCCAAGCGCGCAGCTGAAGACGATGATAAACGTGATGAGCTTACGCTTGGAGCTGGGCTTCGAACTGCGAGCAAAGAAGAGCGCATTGGACCTTCGAGCGAGCCAGTATTGAGCTCCAGAGAGAGCGACGGCTCCAAGGAAGAATGAGATGCAGTCTTCTTGTCGGTCGCCGCTGGCGTCCAGATACGCAGAGGCCGAACGAATGGCTGCGTCTGTGCCAGCAAGGGGGTGGAGAATGGTGATGCGGTAAGAACGCGAGACGTCGATGAGCATCTGTGCCAGATTTATGAGCAGCAAGGTCATGATGGAGCATCGCAGCTTCCAGCTGTCATTGCCTGCGGAACCGCGCAGGTATGAGACCGTCATCGGCACGAGGGCGCCCAGCGCTGGGAAAATCGTCGTGGGGTGCATGAGCGGTCAAGCAACGCGGGAGGCTGTCGGACAGGCATGCGCTTACTCACCAAAGACGGAGAGAATCGTGCCTACAAGCCAGGGCAAGAGCTGCGCGAAGGTGTGCGGGGATGTCGTGAATGGGGCTTGCCTCCTGTGAGCAGGCTTTGGATGCTTACCTGGATCATTTCCGATCCGACGCCATCCCCGGTGAAGCTTGGCCCACCCACGAGGGAGAGCTCTTTGCTCTGCTCGGGATTGGCAAGGGAAAACACGTCCAGTGTGGACCGTGGTAAGACTGGCATGATGGTGACTGAGGCCACCGCGAGAATGCGTGTAGAGGTAGTAGCAGTACCGTGGAACGGATGGTGTGGCGACGAATGTCTGGTCAACGAAGGCCGAATACACGCACCATCACGCTAGCTCCTCTCGATTCAAGATGGATTGCGCCTTCGATGCTGTGATGGAAGATTGGTCATGTCACCGTCTTGTCTTGTGAAGGAGCAATATGAGGGTACAAGGTACCGATGACAGAGAAAGTCGTCAGTGCAAATTCAAATTATTTCGTCCAGCACTGCCAACGAAGCTCGAAGGGCGATTTTGCACGGAAGAGGGAGTGCGCACAGTGCTAGCTACTCAGGCAGCGCCAGCCGTGATAGCGTGAAGCGTCGGACTCCATTCACGATTGTGGATTGTGGTCGCTCGGACACAGAGCTCATAAACAGCAGGCGGCTGCGCAAGGCTTGAGGTGAGAGAGACTCTTCTGATGGCCAGCAGAGTCACACTCTGCTGGTCTGCACTGTGAGTGCAGACTGCCCATCGATGCTATCCAGGTCCGAGCGAGCTCACATGCGACGCTAAAGTTGAGGCGTTTCTGGCTCATCACAAACCAGATCAGCGGCTGACACTCATTCATATCCTGATCTGCAAGATGCCGAGGTGCGATTGAGCTGATGTGCCTATAGAAGTCATTCGTGAGTGTATGACTCAAGCAATCTTTGGAAGCACCATGTATCGCACGCACGGAATAATGAGGGTATCGTGAGAGAATCTGCTGCTGCTGCTGCTGCTGCTGCTTGCTATCATTCATCCTCTGGCTAAAGCAGCCTCGGTGAAACCTGTCAGACGGCAGCGTCAGATTCACAACGAGTGGCGCCGGAGCCATCATAGCCACAGACACCGATCGTGCATGCAAGGCCTTGATATCCGCCTCTGCGTCAGAGCTGCACAGCAGCAGCACAGCTGATGTTGCTCTTGATGTGCAGGTCTGAATGTATGCCGCGTTGTTCGGGCGTAAGGTTGTTGCAACCAAAATGAATCGACCATCCTTCGAATCCTTGAGTAAATCGATTGAAATGAGCGTCTGAAAGGACAAGATTTGTCATCCAACAACCGCGTGCACAATATCGTCTTTAGACTCTTGCTTTGCTGCATGGTATCGGGTGTTAGCTGAGTCGCACCTGCACTCCACCATACATCTGCTCACGCTGCTTTCGCATATGCGGTCAGCTTGAGCAGTGGAGGGGACTATGGTTTCAGTAGACGCAGCCCGTGTTCTCATCACGACGCGCACGATGGGTGATCATAACAACGAGCAGGCGCATCTTGCTCACCACACTGTGTGACTCTCGACTGTTGCGACATGGTCTAAGGGTTCACGCCCTGCTCCCAAGTTCCGGCTGGCGTGGGCATGCCTTCACGTAGTCTGGGAAAACCGAATCATTCGTGATTGTTCTTGCAAAATGGCGATCATATCACAGTCACGAACCACGTGAATGTGCTGTCAACTGGCGTGCGAGCGTGAGTCTTGAGTGGGAGCAAGGGCCGTGGCTCATGAGAAAGTTGACTCGTCAGGCTCTTACTGCCTGTGTGAGCTCAGACTATAGAGCATGGAGAGCTGAGCTGGTCAGATGATGCTTTCGCTCTGCCGCGCCCATCACGAAACCGTTGGCATGCAAATATGCGTCCCAGCTGCCATCCAGTCGATTTGTGGATGGCAAGACGTTGCGCAATGCTGCCTTTTGTGTCATCTTCCAGCTGCACCGATCGATGATGTGTGGGAGATGCGGAC